TTTTTTCTTGAGGGCAGGCTCCCCTCTTATACCCTTCTCTCCACAGCAGTTCTTTTCAAAACAACTTTTTTATTGGTCAAACAACTTTGAATGTAACAACAACAGCAAACACCCAGAAACATCCATGCCTTAACAGCTGGAGAACAAGAAACCACCTGGAGAACAAGAAACCCCAGACTGCATGGAGTCTCCTGAATCACCCTTCTTTGTTCTCTCTAAACTCTTTTATATTCCTGATGGCCTCGTCCTTAAGAGTCTAGTGTTATCTCAGTCACGGGGTTTTCCAACCCCCATGGCCACATTCCAAAATCTCCCCCTTCTTTATTAATATCAACCATTTTCTCGACACGAATTACCACTCCATATATAACATTGCCCCAACTTGTACTTCAAAGCTTCACAAAAATAAGCCTTTTCAGGTTGATCGGTTGCACCTTTTACCTTAACATAATCATTCCATAAAGGCATTAATGCTTGATTTAGAACCGAATATGTTGCCCCATATCAATAAGAAATTTCACTTCTGTTCCTCCCCTAACTTCGTTATAACCAGTAGAGGATCTGCTAGGGTAGATTCCCCAGGTCCCCGTTATACCTGTTGAAATCAGGGGCCGATGAATCAGGGGCCGATGATTACCCTAGAAAAACGCTAGTCAATTTGTCCTCTGAAGCCAGGTCCAAACCGTTTTTCGTTTTGTTTTGTTTTGTTTTGTTTTTTTCCTTCCCCATTACATTTCAGAATTGGTTCAAAAATTCCACAGGGGTTTCTTTTAGACCTTGTTGGAAGCATATTCTCAATTCCCAATTCGTCCAGATTCTAGTATTTACTTAACCGTTCATAATTTTCAGGATGATTAGGGTCTTAGTGGGGGTCGGTCAGGGAAATGCAATTGTCCACAGTTCCCTGAGCGATCCCATCGGCAATCTGAGCTCACACATGAACTCAGGTTGTTTGAAGAGTTAACTGCTTTTCTGTTTCTGTGACAACTCTCTGGGACCCATCATGATCCCTTTGCCCCAGAGGGCTAACACCCAAGATTTTAAGGTCGCAGCCCCGGGCTGAGACAGAACTGTTAACATTCCTACATCCTCTTTCCCTGCTCATTCAACTTCAAACACCTTTAACACTTTCAATAACCCTTTTAACACTTCCTTTATCTTTCTCCAGCCTGTACTTTTCTAATGCCAACATCAAAGGCGCAGTCAGGGACCAACTTAATTCCATACCTTTTCCCTCCAAGATGCTGAAACAACATCAGTATACAACATTCCATCCTATTTTCCTTCTCAAAAACAACATTGACTGTAGCAAAGTATTACAGTTTAAAGCTCCATTAAAAGGCCACTTTTTTCCACATTCCAGCTTATAAAGTGGCCACCATTGATTACAATATTTTATCAGAGATTTCTTATTTTCACTTCCACCCGGAGCCCCCCCTATATCCTTCCAATGACTCATAATACAACCCAGCGTACTTTTCTTAGGAATTTCACTGCTTACTAGCCCCCCCATTTTCCAGTTTACACTTTCAGAATACATGTGTCACTTACAAAAATGCGGGCACGCAGGTATCTTTCAATAGCAATGTCACAAAACTACTATTATTACCAGGAGATGTTGCCAAAGTCACAATAACAATAATCAGAGTCAAATTCCACATGTGATAGGTGAAAAAAACGAAATATGTAACATTGTAACGATATCTTTCTTATAACAACGTCAAAAAATTATTATTATCACCAAGAAAATAGCCAAAATCGCAATAACCAGAGTTAAATATCACACTCCAGGAGTTAGAAAACCAAAATAGGCAACACAATTCCAGATGGACCTTAAAGCGAGCTCTTTCCTTAAGGTCCCCAAATATACTTGTGGTACTAACCACAAAGTATATACCAAACACTGCCTCGCAGAAGATCACCTTCTGACTTACAGACAGTTCCAGATACAGATGGACCCCAAGGTCCCCAAATATACTTGTGGTACTAACCACAAAGTATATACCAAACACTGTCCTGCAGAAGTCACCTTACTTCCGACTTACTGGACAGTCCCAGATGACCGGTCTACCAGAAAACCAAACCAGAATAAAGAATATACTCACTTACAATGATGGGGTCCTTGTCTGACTCCGCAGTGATCCGAGGAGTCCCTCCGGGAAATCCCGGGGGTACCCTAAGAGTCCTGTCCCCAGCGGGTCCTGCGGTCCGGCAGAGAGGTTGTCCCATCTGGGTCGCCAAATTGATTTAAAGATCAAAGCCGAAATTTCCTTAAGTGGTATATTCTTTATTGCAGCGCTGGATGCACGGGGGATCCTTCCACCTATCGTGCATGTTCGAAGTGACAAAATATCTCATATTTATACAGCGAAACAATGAATATTCTATTAGTGCCTATACATATTCATTACCTAACCCCGCCTACTCTCGCTTCGTATGCTAATTAGCTTATCAGTCCTTGCACTTGAACAAAGCCTTCCAAGAATTGTGGGCCGGGGTCTTTGGAATGTGAGCAGTGGTCTTTGGGAGGAAGGCCGTAGGTCTTCCTCGTGATGCACTTTTCACCTTTTGCTTAATCAGTTGTTTTCCAACCTGTAAAAATGCTGAGTTGGCTTTCGGTTTAACTGAGGGTCGGCAGATAACAGGATGTCTCAGTTAACAAGACATAACGGACAGTTGACTCAAGTTATCTCAAGTATCAGCCTGACTGAGGGTTAACAGATAACGGGATGTTTTCAAATAACAAGATGCTTCAACATAACAGAAGGTCAACAGATAACAAGATGTCGTTTACTTTGTTCTCGCTGACTTTTAACCACAAGTTTTATTCTATCCTAAAGTGAGTTTATACAATATCATTCCCCCCCTTTCTGGAAAGTCTACTAATTCTTTTACTTAATACGAAAATTTTCTTCCCAGTCTTATGATATGTGCCCCTCAATACCTTGCCATGCACATTTGTCAAGGAGGCTTACATGGACATTCGTTGTAACAATTTTCAATTCCAAACAAGTAATACAAAAGACAATATTAAACTTATACCAACTAATATTAATTAAACAATAATTGGCTGACTCAATGTGTTCAAAATCCCAGTTTCAGTTGGTGACCATCCAAAAAGTGTATCCCACCAGTTGTGACATGTGTCTCGTTTTACTCTTTGCAAAACTCTGTTTATTTCCTTTGTATCATGATGGACAGTAATTAGAGTCTTCTCTCAATTTTCCTGAATGCCTTTTAAAATTCTAATCAGGTCTTGGTGTTTAACTAGTTGCTTCACTAGTGTGAGGTTCATCCCAATAGGTGTAGGTAGTAACTTATGATACATTGTGTTGTTAGACTTGATCAGCTGGTGGGATACCACTGGTGCCAAATATAGAAAATCACACCCGACGATTCTAACAAAGTTACAAATACAAATGTTAGAATGATTTTTGCTAGGGAGAGTTATGTTCTCCTTATCTATTTCTACAAAATCACAAGCAGTTCTTAAACACACGCACCCTTGACCAACATATACAAGGACAGTCTTTTGACTAGTATTTGGATGAAATTCAAAGTGGCAAACACCTTGCTCCGTGTCAAGACATACATCCTGAGCATCAATTGTATTGCTTTCACAAATAAATCCTTGCTGTTCCCCGGTAACACATGATTCTAGATTTACAGACTGCCATCTCCCATTCTCCATCCGTGCCCATGTTCTATGCTCCGAAGGACAGAGCACTGTCTCCTCATGGTTTAATCCTAGTGCAATGATGGGGTGGATAACATAAACTGTGGCATTACGTATAGTAAGCACAAAGGCAGTAGCCTTGTTAACAATGGGGTCATAGGTAAAATTTACCAGAGTTCACCAAGATTGGAACTTCTTCTCAAAAATCATTGGCATTGTCCCAAACAGTCTTTTGGACTTCAGCTGGAAAAATGCCTTCACTTCCTTCCCTAATGATCAAGGCAGCCATTGCCTGAATCCATAACTGTGCTTGTATACAACTAAGAGCTAAGGATGCATTATCTTGTGTCCACTCTTCTAATTTTCACCATTCTGATGGTTTATATAAATAGTTGCCATTTGTTCGCCAGATGACCATGACCAGTGATCACAGCAAAGCATGAAACTGCACCGAAGCGCAGGGCAGCCCGTGTTCCTGAAGGCAGGGAGGTGCGCATGAGAAATGGAGCCTGTGCCTGTGTGCAGCTCCACAGCACGTGAGCCTGGGGTCAGGGCACCTGCAGTGGGACGGCATCTCATCCTGTTTCACGGCACTTCCCTGCCAAAGCTCCTGGTGGTTTCAGATGCTCAGAACTGCTGCCACCAGGGCTATTTCTGCTGTCACGTACGTGTGACCAACCTGTCCCACCTGCCCCTAGGATGCTCTTTGCCCTGAGTCCTACCTCGGTGACGTGGATCCCCTGGAACCTGCCCAGTCAGGGGATCGAAGCCACCACCCTGCAGCCCCGCCAGAGCTGGCTCTCCCGGGCACACGTCCGTGTCATCGCCTGTGGCGCCAGGCGCGACTCGAAGGCCGCCCGGCCCAGGATGGTGTTCCCCGTTGCGCTTTTCCCTGCACCGGTCTTTCCGACGAGTAGCAGGCGCAGCTCCATGTGCTCCTGGGTCCCCTGGCCTGCTGGCATCGGTGAGGGGAAAGGCTCAGTGAGAGAGCAGCAGTGTGTAAAGCACTGCCTGGGGTGGGTCATGCATGGAAACAGCCCGGCACAGGGGCACAGAGCTGCCTGTGCCACCCCGGGGATGCTCTTACCTCCCCAGGGATACCCGTGACACCCCAGGGATACCCGTAACACCCCAGGGATGCCTGTCCCCTCTCCAGGTGCACGGCACTGCTTGGCACATGCCTGCTCTGTCCCCTAAACCCCCCCACCGACTGGGAGATTGCCAGGAGAGCCCGGTCCCCGCGGTGCCTGCGGTGGCACGAGGACACCGAACCCCCTTCGAGGGGACTCTGGGGCAGGGCAGTGCCCGGCCCTTGCACCCTTACCGTGATCCTCCCAGGAGCCGCTCGCCATCGTGCTCTGCCGCAGTGTCAGTGCAGGAAGGGTGATGCCAGAGCTGGGTCACAGGCTGCAGGGGGACAGAGAGCAAACACACGTGCAGGGTGAAGGCTTTCCCGCTGGGCTTGGGGGATAAGGGCGCTGGCAGGCTGTGACCAAGCCCTTGAGAAGGCCGAGCCTGCAGCGCCAGCCCAGCCAGCAGCAGGCTTAGCCATGCACCATTCGCCTGTAGGTGAGCAACGCCGGCTGCTCCCGATCCCTGCGTTCAGAAGCAGCCCCCCAGGGACCTGCTGCACGGGTTCTGCGCTGCTGAGCTGTGACTCTGGAGCCGTGCAGCGCACTGGGGAGCAAACCCGGTGAGCACCAAGCCCCTGCAACCTACCCACGGCTCCGGGTGCAGCAGTGTCCCTGGGCAGGAGGTGCCCGTGCTCGGCCCCAGCTTTTAGTTTGGGGCTGCGGGGGCGGGAGCTGAGTGCAGCAGGGCTGGGCGCAAGGTTCACGGGGTGGGGGCTCTGCAAGGACAGCCCAGAAACACTCGTGGGAGGCACGGAGCTGTGGGGGGCGGTTTGCTGCATGCTCTGCGGGGCACACCCAGCCCCAGCTGCAAACACCGAGGGTCCGGCTCTGCTCCTGGGCTGCCTCCCCTCGGCCCCACGGTGACCTCTCAAAAAGCACTGGGAAAGCTCGGTCTGTGCAAATGAGGGAAAGCATGGCCTGGAAATAAACCTCAGCGGTCATGAGGTTGACGAGACGATGAGGTGCAGCCTCCTACCAGAGGAGTTTTGGTCTGATGCTCGTACAAATACAGCCGGAGGCTCCCTTTTCCACCCAGGCTGTGGTGTGTGAGGCCGCAGTCTCCTGAGCTGGGGACGTTTTGTGGCACAGCACAAACCGGTGTTCAACCCCTGCCCGGCCCCTCTGCTAAGCCCAGGTCCCTCGCAGGACGCAGGGAGCCCCCTCCTCCAGCCCCTGCGTACCACAGCCCCAGCACGCTGCTCGTGCTTTGGACCAAGGCACTCGAGCACCGCTTTGTGCTCGGGGCCGTCCATACAGGGCGGCAAGTCCAGACCCCTGTGGGTGCCCGGGCACCCACCGCCCATGGCTCTGCGGTTCCCTGTGGCTGTGCAGTCCCCGTGGCACCGCGGTGTGCCTGTCTGCTCACCATCACCCGTGGGCACGCTGCCCCGCAGCTCCCCTGGATCTGCTGCTGTGCTTGGGCTGCGCGCCTCCTTCACGTCCCCTTCCTGCTCCCCAGCCCCCTCCTGGGACGCTTTTACTTTCGGTCTGTCCGCGAACCTCCCGTGCTCCTGCTTCAGGCACCTCCTCGCCCCCCTCCTCATCCCGGCAGGGGCTCGGGCACTCTTCCACTCTTCCTCCCCATCCTCTTCCTCTCGGCCTCACGTCCCCAGCCCGGCCAGCTCGGGATGCCCGCGGGGCTGCCCCTGGCTGCTGGGGGGTCCGCACGGTGTCTGCTGGGGGGCTCTGGGGGGGTCCTAGGCCAGAGCTGCCGTGCCATAGCCACGGGGCAGCCGCCACCAGGGTCCAGCGTCATCCAGGGGTGCTCCAGCACGGGGGGCACCGCTCCGGGACGCACGGCGCAGCCCCGGTCCCGTTCCCGTGTTCGCCCACTGACCGGAGTCCAACCCGCAGACCCCGGTGCCGCCCGGTCCCGGTCCCCCGGCGGTTCCCTGACCTGCTTGGCTCCGGCACCCGCCGGTCCCCCAGAGCCGCCGGGACCGGGAGCGGCGCCCGGGTGCGCAGCAGCGGCCGCGGAGCTCCCGGAGTGGAGCCGCGACCTCCTGCGTCGGTGCGGGGAACGGCACCGGGAGCCGGGCACCGGGGGTCAGGGACATCGGGGGTCGGGGACACCGGCGCTGGGACCTGGGGTCACGGAGACACTGCGGCACTGCGTGTCCCCGGGGGCACTGGGGTCACCGGGACACGGGGATCTGTGACAGGGATATGGGGCTGGAGAGATTGGGGCATGGGGACACCGGGTGTCAGGGATATGGGGACCAGGGATATAAGGACATGGGGACACCGGGTGGCACGGACATGGGGACCTGGGGGCATTGGGACACAGGGATCTGTGACACAGGGACACAGGGACTGACATGGGGCATGGGACCCGGGTGTCAGGGCCATGGGGAACCTGGGGACATTGAGACACCGGGACCTGTGACACAGGGACATGGAGAGCAGGTATATACGGACCATGGGGACACCGGGTGTCAGGGCCATGGGGACCTGGGAACACTGGGGCACAGGGAACCTGTGACACAAGGGACAATGGGAATGGGGACACCGGGTGTCAGGAACCTCTGGCCGCAGGGAGCAGCGCCATGGCAGCGGCTGCCCAGCCAGCAGCTCGGGGAGGTGGAGGAGAGCTCCTGACATCTCGGGAACGTGGCCAGAGGGACCCCAAAGGCTGCAGCCTCTGAAGCCCGGGGACACCCAAGGACAAGCACAAGAGCCAGGGGCTGCCAAGGCAAGGCTTGAAATTAAATGGGTCATGGGTCCCACCCAGAGCAGATCTCCACACTTTCCGTTGCATTTTCCCTTTCTCCAGCCCTTTCCGTTGTATTTTCCCCCTTTCCCTTTGAGGAGGGGGAGTGAGAGAGGGGCTGTGGTAGGGCTGAGCGGCCCCGCAGGGTAGAAGCAGCACACCCAGGCCTCGTGGTGAGCACCAGAGGAGCAGAGGGGGGCTGTGAGCCCGTCCCCCCCTACACTCGGGGATTTGTGGCTGCCTCGGATCCGCTCCTGCCCCCGGCCACATAAGCAGCAGGGGAGGCCATGAGGAGGGGACACAGGAGCAGAGCCAGGAGCCCTCTGTCACGTTATCCCCATGCTCCTACCTCTTGGCACAGCCCAGGGCTCTCCGAACTCGGCAGGACACTCGGCATGAGCCCTTGGAGCGGTGCTGGCTGCTGTGCCAAGCCCACGTGCTGGGGTGTCCCTGCTCCCGGCCAGCATCCTCAGCATCCATCCCCCCGGCACACGTGGGGCCATCGCTCACCCCTGGAGCAGCTCCGTCCTTGGTGAGCATCCCCGGGCAGCAGCCAGTGACGTTCTGGAGGGCCCTGGGAAGGCGTGGGCGAGCCCTCACGAAAACTCCCCGGGTTCCCAGCAAGATGGAGACGCGGTGTTTTCCAAGCGCAATTCATTTAATTCATACACATCAGCGGTACCTGCATTTCCACACACGGAGTGGCGAAGGGGGGAGTGGGCGGAGGACGGGGAGGGGGGTCACTTTGTGCAGCTCTTCGCGGGGGGCTTTGCCTTTTGCCAGGACGGCGAGAAAACACGGCACCCCCACGGCACCGGGGCTGTGCCCAGCACCCTCCTCGTGGTAGCGGGCTGGGTGGGGGCACTGCGGGGAAAGGGGCTGCACCGGGGGGGGGCTGCACCGTGTGTGGCGGGGTGCAGGAGGTGCCACGGGCACGGCTGGACCTGTGCGAGGGGAGCAGGGGGCAGTGGGGCACAGCGGGGCTCTGCAGGAGGGGACCCAGCTCCCTCGGGAGCCGGTGGCAGCCAGGACAGTGCCGTCACCGGGAGCTGGGGCCGGGCACGGTGTCAGCTCCCCCCCGGCAGCTGCAGGCTCGCTCTGCCCCGATGCACGGCGTGAAGGAGGGCAGGGGGTGCTCGCAAGCCCAGCATCATCCCGTGGTGGTGAGCGGCGCAGTGCGAAGGGCAGCAGCAGCAGCAAGCGACGGCAGAAAAAGCTGATTTTCTGGTGCAGGAGAGGGGCACCCACCCTGGATTCAGCCACCAGTGCTGAGCCCTGCCTCGCCCCAGAGAGCTTGCCAAGCACTGTCCCGGTTTGGGGCGCACAGACGGGGACCCTGCGGAGGGCAGGGGTGGCCGCTGACCCCCAGCAGCACCCGGGATCAGCCCTAAAACCCCGTGGTTTCAGAGGGGACACAGGGTTTGCACGGTGCCACGTGCCGCAGGGCTCTGGCGCAGCCACTTCCCCTTCTCCGGTGCCACGGGCGGGCTCGGCAAACACGGGGCTCCTCTGCTTGTGCCTGGGGTGGCAGAGCAGGGCATGGGCAGAGATTTCCCCTCCTGGCTGTGGCTCACCTCTCCTGGCTGCCTGCTCCGCCACCACGGCTGTGGGCTCCACACCGGGGCCTCCGTGCTGCCCGGGCTGGGGTCTCTGCCTCTCCGCAGCCCCCGCCTCGGTCCCTCCTCCAGGCCGGAGCTGCCGCTGCTGCTCCTTGGGAAGCAGTCTGCACCCGTGAGCTTTGCGTTTTTATTTTATTTTTATTTTGCCTGATTTCTGCGCCACTCGGGGCTCCGCGCAGTGCCGGGACGAGCCTCCGCCGCCTCCTCCTCTTGGAGCCCCTCTCCCCAGCGCGGTGGGCAGCACGCGGCGCCGCGGCTCCTTCCCCGCAGAGCGCAGGAGGCGAGATCCGGCTCTGCTCTGGTGCTCGTGGCCATCATTCCCTGGGCGAGAAGCACACGGAGGTGTTACCTGCGAGCAGCAGCACCAGCCTGGGCCGGGGGGGGGGGACACGGGGAGCGTGGGGAGCTCAGGGGCGCATGGGGAGCGTGCAGTGGTGGTGCTTTAACCTGGGGAAACCTCCCCGCTCCTCCTCCTCGCGCTGGCCCAGGGGTTTCACCTGTGGCCCTGGTGTGCACCAGGCTGCAGAGGATGGATAGATGGACGGGGAGGAAGCCCCACAGAGAAAACCACCACAGGGAATACCACCTCAGGGAATACCACCACCATTTCCAGGGCTGGCCTCAGCGCTTGGCTCCTCCTGCTGCCCTGGGGGGCAACAGGCATCCAGCAGGCACAGATCAGCCTGCGAGCGCCTGATGCAGGGCACCGGAGGCAGCCTCGTGATGGTCAGGAGAGGAACTCCAGCAGGAGGAGCGCAGCAGGCGCCCAGGGGTGCCCACACAGAGCTGGGGCTGATCACCCCGCAGGGGCGCACCAGTGGTTTCCCACACCGAGGGGTGGGCACGCACCCTGAACCCCTGGAGAGGCCACTAATGGCTTTGAGCCCCCCAGGCAGCACCCCCAGGTGCAGGGCAGTGCCCGGAGGGGGGCCACAGGGTGGGGAGAACCCCGTGGGGCAGGAGAGCGGTGCAGGCAGCGGTGGGTGGGGGTCCCGGTGCGCGGGGGGCTCACGTGTGGGCGTTCTCTGCCCCGTGGCTCCGCTGGTGCGCGGTGAGGTTGACCTTCTGGGCGAAGCTCTTGCCGCACTGGGCGCAGGAGAAGGGGGTCTCGCCCGTGTGGGTGCGCTGGTGGATCTTCAGGGAGCCCTTCTGGCTGAAGCTCTTGCCGCAGTCGGGGCAGGCGAAGGGGCGCTCGCCGGTGTGGGTGCGCTGGTGTGTGGCCAGGCTGCTCCGGCAGCTGAAACCCTTCCCGCACCGGGCGCAGGCGAAGGGGCCGCTCGCTGCCCCGGGGCCGCTGGCCTCCTCATGCGGCTCCGGCCGCGGCGAGCGGCTGCTGGCGGCGGTGGTGGCCGCGCCGGACCCGTCCTCGGCGTCCGCAGCGGGCCGGTCCTCGGCGTGGGTGCGCTGGTGGTTGAGGAGGAAGCGCTGCTCACGGAAGCGCTTCCCGCAGCGCCCACAGGAGAAGGGCTTCTCGCCGCTGTGGATGCGCTGGTGGGTGAGCAGGTTCTGCTTGAGGCTGAAGCTCTTCTGGCAGACGCCGCACTGGTAGGGGCGCTCCCCGGTGTGGATGCGCTGGTGGATGATGAGGTTGTGCTTGAGGCTGAAGGCCTTGCCGCACTCGGCGCAGATGAAGGCGCGCTCGCCGGCGTGGTGCTTCTGGTGCCGGGCGAGGCTGGGCTGCTGGCCGAAGCATTCCCCGCACAGGATGCACTTGAACTCCTTCCCGGCCTCCTCCTCCTCCGCCTGGCTGTGGATCACCAGCGCCTTCTCGTCCCCGAAGCCCTCCTCGCCGCCGGGGAAGGCGAAGGGGTTCTCGCCCGTGGGCGAGGCCAGGTCCGTCATGGGCGCGCGCTGCCCGGCTCACGGCACCCGCATCGCAACCCTGGGGGGCACAGAGAGGGGCGGCTGCGGCTCCCCAGCACCACACCGGGGCTGCCACCGCCCCCCAAAACCCCCAAGATCCCCAAAACCCCCAGGACCCCCGGGACCCCCGCCCACCGCCCGCTGCGAGCGCACCCGAGGGCGGCGGAAGGGGCCGGGACCGTGCGCCCTCGTGGCTGGGGGGGGGGGGGCGCCCTCTTCCCCCGCTCCCCCCGGGGCTGCGGGGCCACGCCTGGCCCTGGGGGGGCCCGGAACCGTGCAAGGGAGAGTGGGGGGGCTCCAAGCTCGGCGATAAGGGGGGTCCCACGCCATCCGCCCCCCCCCAACAGGCGGCCCCGCGCTGGGGCCGGG